CAGGTAAGGAGGCTTAGAAAGAAATGAAAACTTTTGATACCGTTCTAAAAATAGTTAAAGGAGCAACAGAAGCGTATAGTTCCTAATTAACATTTGGGGTATTTTTTATCTTCTTTATTAAATGCAACCAAAGATCGAGTTAAGCTGTGTCCTGTCATCATATTCCGCAAATATGCATTGTTTAAGGTACGGGTATTTTGTCTTGTAAGGGCAAGATTTCAAGCTGTAAAGTTAATAAATCAGCAGCAGCTGTATGAATCAAAGATCCAGACTCAGAACTTCTCCTGGCAGCTGCCACATTTCAGCATGAGTATGTAAAAAGTACTTTATGTAAAACTGTCTTCTTGTCCATTGGTGAGGAAAATGAAATTGAAGTCACACACATGCAAGATCAAATTTTCATTACTGACAGTATAAATCCAATATCAGTATATTAGGAAAAAAATAATCCTGTCCAGTGTTTGATCTTCACAGTAATCCCAGTATAAGAAGGACCAAGTGTAGTGGTGTTAGTATTCATATCAGCTTTGGCAGCTTACTATCAGTCAATATTATGCACATGCATGTATTTTGTGTAAAGTAAACGTTTATTTATATTATTTACAGTACTTACACTGTGCTACTGATGCTTATTAAAAGTGGGTCACAGGTGGGGGGCTGCAGCAGGTGAAGGTGCAGACGAGATGCAAGTGAAGCTGGAGACTATTAAGCCATGTGTGGCCAGACCTCCAGTCACACTGGCTGAGCAAATTAAAAATGGATGAGTGTTTTCAGTCCAAATCTGACTCCTGTATGTATCTGGTATCCATCACTTTCATGATGGATGGATGGGGGGGGCACGGTTGGTCATGCATCCCAGTTTGCATACAATCACTTTCATTGTGAATGTCACCTGAACAGCAGCACAGGGATCAGCTTTCCTGCCATGTGGAAAACTTTTCAATGAATAGAGTTTGTCACTCACACACACATGCACACCCCACTCATTTCCTGTAGACTTATCCTAACCTTAACCATAACCACTACTTGCCTAACCCTAATCCCTATCCTTGAACCATGTTGCCACCCTAAAATTCAAAGATGACGCAAGCACAGGTACATGAACCATTAACATTTTCATGAGAAGTTCTGGTAAAATAGGCGTATTATTTGCAATAAAAACCTTCACTATTACTGCTCACATACATGTAATACATTAGTGTTCTACAAGGTACAACATCTCTCCTATTATTTACACAAACTGTACATCTCTATAGTATCCCATCTTTTTTTGTTTCAGTGAAATCCTTCTTTCTGCATCGATGATAAAAAGCTCAAGAGGAGACAATTACCTCTCTGGGTGCTAATGTGTTCCAGAAATAACTGCTCTCAAACTAGGCCAGAGCTTCAATCAGTCTTAAGGGTTTTAGTGAAGCAAAATTCATGCAGCACTGTGCTATATAAAGTCTCCAGAGCAGCTGATGAGCGTGGAAATAGCAAACAGTTTGTCATTTTCATCAAATCTATAAAAGATAAGATGAAAATTCTCATAATTTCCACCTGGAATTTTAGGATTTTAATGTTTTTTGGTAAGAGAAACACTGACATGTGTTATCAACAAAAAAAAATGATACAAAGTTTACCTGCTGATGAATTTTGTAACTGAATCATTAAGTCTTCAAGGAAAGAATATCTGTTTTTTATGATGATGTTGCTGTGAATTTAAGTCACACACATGTATCAGTGGTCAAAATAAATGTATGAATGGACATACGTAAGTGTGAAAGAGGGAAAAAGAAAGAATGATGTTAGCATAAAAATGAAAAGAAAATCATAGATAAGTAACTAAAACTGAGGCGTCCATGCATGATTTTGCACCTGTTCACCACCTTACCCATGCTGCATAATTTTAGTGACCCCACAGTCATACTAACATGCCTTTAATGGTCCTTGAACAGATGTGACAGTACAACGCAAAAATGCGGTGTCAGATATTACACAGTACAAACGCTTTCATTTTACAGTTTCTTATGTAACATCAAGATATGTATTCAACCCCAACAGAACTCTTTGGCTGCCAGTGGAAGAAGCTAAAAATAGCTTATCAAGGCCTGATTATGAGAGACTGGGAGAAGGCAGAGTGTTTTGTGTCTATTTAAATATTTTGGCAAACATGCAATTTGATAGAGCAAATTTGAGAAACTGGTGAGCATAAAGCGTTGGTCTTCAGCATGAGCAGACAAGATACCAGTTTATAATCCACAACTTCATGTTCATGAGATGAATCATGATTACCAAAAAGGCCAAAAATGTGGTTTGCTGCTTGAATGTCTTTTGTAGCTTGGTGGTTATAGATATGATGTGAGACAATGATTCATTAGAACAGAAACAGTTTTTTTGTCTAAGTAGAAATTTTATTTCTATTTTAATAGACTCAGAATAATGACCACACTCCCTTTGTAACCTTCAGTAAACATCTTCCACAATCTCTCACAGGACATTTGGAAATGAAGCACATAGTTGTTGTAAGAGGTCTGTTATCTACTGCTTAGAGGTAGTTTCTGATCTTATTTTCTGTTCAAATTAAATGTGCATGAAAGGATGTGTGTATTAGCCAGTAGAGGGAGCAAGCACCATTTATACTAATAGGTCTGAACTCACAGTGTGTGTGTGTGTGTGTGTGTATGTTGGTTGGGGGGAGAGATTAATAGTTCATTGTTTGTCAGGAAAAGTGAAAGGGCAGGGAGAGAAAGTGAAGAAAGTGAGGGAATCTGGCAAACCATGAGAACAGCGCAGAATAAAAAAAGGAAGACAGCAACTGTACCAGAAGACCTGGTGATTGTTATATAAGGCAAATACTAATCAGCTCTCACTTCCCTGCACCTACCTGACAGCTCTGAAGACAATGTGAGGAAAGGCCTTAAAGCACAGATTAGCTCCTGTCTTCCTCAACTGGTTTTCCTGTTACTCATCTCACTCTTACTGTCTCTGTACGTTTCCTGTTTGTCACTCCTGAATTTCATTTTTACTAGTGCTTATAAAATCGTTCTTCCTGCTCTCTCTCGTTCCTCTGCTGGGGTCACACTGACCTTGGTGACAACTGGGAGAGAATGAAAAAAGCAAAAATGAGGACAAAGATTTGGGTGGAAATGAGAGGAAACAGAGCAGCACCATCATATTCACTACAGCATATGCCCCCTTGTGTGTCTAGGGTATAACAGGCTATTTTTAGACACAGATGGCTATTTTTATATCTGTGTTGGCAAAGGAGGGGGTAGAAAATTCTCATTGGTCAAATCCCTTTTTAAGATGAGGATTAGGCAGTGAAATGCAAGAGCCTGTGTGCAAAACTGTATGCACTGTACGTGCAGTATATGCATGTGTGTGATGATGCTAAATACTTATGGACACCTGAGGATGCAAAGAAAGGAAAATTAGACAGAGGACACTGAGAAAAAACAGGTTTAATCGACTGAAATGAGATGTAAGTATTGTTCTCCTGCTAACTCACTAGTTACTAAATAGACTCACTACACTAATAGCACATGTGGTACAATTTGAGCTAAAATACCAGAATCATCTGCATGAAAGTTAAAGGGTTTGGCTTTTCTGATACACTGTCACTGTGACGTCTGAGCCCAAAAACAAGAAGATGACGCAAGTGTGCATGTTTTTTCACTCGCTAGACGTCTTCTGATGACGACAACAACTCCCATGGTCACTGTATTATCCCTTTGTTTCCACATTTGCGTACACTGAGATTTAAACCTAGGGGAAACAACCTGCTTCACAGTGAAATAATTAGATTTCATTCCACTGTGCAAATAAAAAGAAACGCACTGATTCCTGTCCTTGAAAAGGTTGCTAATGGATGCATGAGCACTTGTTATTACATCAGTCTTTTCATTCCCTCCCCAGCCACATCTCCCAGCTCATTTAACACACTTGATGGCAGTGGATGAAACAGCACTACATTTGACATCAAAATCATTAAAAAGCAATCATTAATGTTTCCTCTTTGAATGAGCTTCTTGTCTAGTTTCTGCATATAGATTATTTTACATTGTTTGCAAATCAGTATGTTGCACAGATCACAGAGGTGGCCTCACCTGATGAGCCTGTGAAATGGTGCTACGATAATCAACTGATATTCGGATTAATTTTTTCCTTCAGTATGTACTGTTGCATGTAAGCCGTTATGTAAATGTGTGAAGTCAACTGTGTGCATCTGAGTGAGAAAAGTATGAGGGGAAAAAGAGAAGGATACAGTCAGAGAGACAGAGAGAGAGAGAGACAGCAAGAGAGAGGAGAGATGGATCTCATGCCCGTGCACACTATGGTCTGACATTACGAAAGCTGAGGGCGCTTGTGTCTGACGTCTAATGTGTTCTGAAGTTCACAATGAGCCTCCGGTGAGAGGGTGGATGAATCATCCGCAGAGCAATACAGAGGAGCCACAGGGATGCTGAATGGGAGCAAGATCTAAAATGACTTTGGTGTGAATGTGTTTATTAAAATAGCAAAGAACAGACAAGGTCAGACAGGAGAGGGACATAGGGATGTACATTAGAGTTGCAGTGGTGGCCACCAAAGTTACCTCAGGAGTGAAGGTGGCCAGTTTTTACCGGGTTACGTGGTTTGACATTTTAGATTGTGGTGGAAGAAATATTCAGATCCTTAAAGTGTCTATCCATTAAAACTGGGCTCTGCTTTTTAATTGGATGGTTAACCTTTGCTGTGCACACTGATGGATGCACAGCATGGCAAGGATTTTTTCACATCCATCTGCTAGTGAAAGCTTTTTACTACTCATCTTAAATCTCAGTTTCAGATGTGAACATGTGAGCATGATTTGTGACATCCCAACTAGAGACTTTGAAATTAACAACATCTGCATTCTCCTGGATTCTGGATGTTTCTATGAGGTGTGATAAATGTGAAGTGCAATTTTAAGAATTCTGAAGAATTTCTAGAAGAAATTGTAATAAAAACTATATGATACACAAATCATTATTTAAAGCAGAAAACCGTTACATCTTTAAACATGTCTGGACAATAACAAATACTCCATTAATCCTGCATTCAGAATTTTATTCAAGTAAAAGTACATCGGTGCCAGAGCTAATGAGAAAGAGTCTTAAAAGCTTGGATTAAATACATGTTCACAACAAGCTGAAACAAGTAAAAGTTGACTTTGCTTAATTTGAAGTCAAACAGTGAGTGTCCTGAAGAGTGAAAAATGCCCCTGCTACCTCAAACCTGCTTGTACTGCAGCAGATTCACCAGTGAACACATAGATCAGTGTCTTTGCCTGGCACATTCATACTTTTGTTCTCAAAGTTAGAGACTTAGTGACACAGTGTCATCAGTACAGAAATGTCTATTGTGTACACAGTTCTGGACTTTTTAGAATTTAAAAGCAGTTGCTTAATCCCACTTTTCTGTGCCTATGACAGTGTCAACCTTTGTGGACTGTAAAAGCTGATTATTAACTAAAATAAATGTAGTGAAATAAATACACAAAAGGTGGAACATTTCCCTTTGAGATGTAGCAGAGTCAAAGTATGAAGTAGTATAAAATGGAAATACTGAAATTCCACCTGTTCTTAAATACAGAATTTGAGGAAATGTGCACTTATACCCTCTCTCTTTCTGCCATCCTGTTTGACAATAGATGTGTGTATATGAGAGGCTAAGAGAGAGAGAGCATTTATTTGTCTGTGTCTTTGCATTTGCCTGTGTTAGTTTGTATCCACAGTGTTTTGGAATCCATTTGTCATTTCTTACACATTCTGCCTTTGATCTGAATCCAAGGTCTTCGAGCTTAACATGACTTTGTGATGCTTCTACTTCCTTGTGTGTGTGTGTGTGTGTGTGTGTGTGTGTGTGTGTGTGTGCGTAAAGAGACCGAGGGATGGATGCTGGGGGTAGAGTGTGGAGAGATGTGGGAGAGTAAGGGGAAGACAGAGCCTGTGTTATATTTTTAGCTCCACAGCCCCACATTTGTGTTTAATCGAGTGCATGGATGTGCACGTGAGAGTGTGTGTGTTTGGATTATTGTCTCCAGCATCTTGCTCAGGGGAAGGTAATATGCTTGTCCGAATGAGGTTTTTCTGTCAAATTTGCATAGATGATTTAAAATTGTGGAGTGAACGAGCGCTGCGGAGAGTGTGAGGGGAAAGGAGCAAGAGACAGACAGATGACAGAGGGGAGGGGAGGCAGAGTGGAGGGAGGAACTGCACAGTAGTAGAGAGGATGGAACGAATGAGCAATCTTGTTTTTCTACTCCTGGCACTTGCATCTCGCTCTGATCACATGCATGCTTCCTCTCCCTCACTTATCTTTGTGGTGCTCTGACTTGTCCTTTGTTCTTGTTTACATATTTCATCCTGTGACTCAGTGTCCCCCACCCCTCTGTACCTCCCAGCATCCTTGCCTCTAAGTCCTCCCTACTCCCCCCTTCATCCTCTCCCTGCTCGTCTCTATCCAGCTCCTCTGATGTCTCTGCTCTGCTCCCTTCCTTTTCCCAAATGTCCTCTTACATTAGTCAATGACCCACTGAAAAATATTTAACTTTCTAATCAATCATATTCCTATGCATAAAAAAAATGCATACATACCCATGCACTTACATACAGCCACATTAACACAAACAAAACAAGAAGGATTATTTTCTTGCAATGGGCAACTCTGTAAAGTCGCTTAAAATATTCACCAAGAAGGTAAGGTCTGCTCTGAGATTTGTCATTTGGCTGTGCTCTCCTTGAATCCCCTGCATGTTTGTCTCATGTGTGTCCTCAACCTGACTGAAGGCTATTTGAATAGTCCTGTACTGAATGACCTCTGTATACTATGTGACTGAGATTTCACTCTGTTCAGCTCTTTCCTTGTGTTTTGTGTTAGTGGAGTCCAAGCACATGACAGGACAAATGAAGGATATTTCAAAATATAGTAAATCTTGTGGAGTCTGAAGATTATCTCAGCATGGGAGTTTTTAGTTTTGAATATTGATTGAGCAGTTTGTTATCTTCATTTCAGTCTCATTCTGCATGTACCTCATAGATTGCGCTGAGTGCTAATATGGCATTTGCATCTTTTTTGGTTGCCTCTCTGATTATCAATGCATGGTTACATTCTTTAGAAAACCACTCACCAAAAGTTAGAGTTGGTCAGATCACATAATGATACCACCAGCTAGAGGCGGATGGTACGCTATCGAACCTGCACTTGCAGCAAGAAACCAGTCAGTGGAAATGTTACAAACAGGTGTGCTGTTTACACAATGGGAAGACTAGCATTGAGTGTTTTAGACAACAATACAAGTACACAGTGGAGGATCAACATCAGAAAACATTCATTTGTACAATACATCTCTTACATCTGCTGTTCTCATTTTATGCTTGAATAGACTGTCAGTATATCGGGCAAACAGTCTCACAAATACATTTTCCTTCATTTCAGCAGTTGCATATCCTTGAAGAAGCACAATATGACAAGTGCCATCTGTGCAAAATGGGGTTGGAGTGCCAGAAAAAGTTCTTGCGTGACTTCAGCCTTTCTGTGACACTTTTTTTTTTTTTGGTTATATAACTGCTAGCGCATGCTTGATAGTACTTTTTCTGGCACTATATCGTATAACCACAGACAGGCCTGCTCCATGCATCACTTGGTCACATTACCCAGTGGGCATCCATTCCTGTGGTGGGAACTGTAGGAAAGAATGAACTGACATTAGGACTATAACAGATGGAGTGTGAAGGTCATTTGTAGAGCACAAAATACTGTGTATTTGCAGGTAGTATACATGCATATTCATTTTCCATTAGGTATGCATGTAGATGTCTAACGTTTACTGGAAAAAAAACTGGTGCTATACAAGCAGAAAGCTTGTAACATAGCAGCAGAAATGGTTCCTTGGTAATTCGCTGTGACAGTGAATTTAGTCCACTTGCTTTTAGCTGGATTTTCCTTCACTGAGTTGGATTTTACACTGTGGTAATTTAAGACCCAAACAGCATTATGATATTTTATAAGCAAGAAGAGATGTTACTGCTTAAAAACTCAGTTCATCTCTGCCTGACAAAATGCAGGCTGCAGTAGTAATCGCTGAGCCTTTTTTCTGTGTTGTGTTGTGTTGTGCATTTAGCCTCAGATTTAGCTGCAACTCTTGAAAGTTCAGATATTAGTCCGAGCATTGGCTAGACCTGATTTAGCTTTATATAGAGAAGGCTTTTTGTCCCCTGCCTTTTTAATTAACCCATAGCTTTCTCTGCAGCTGGATTAACTGTTGTGAGAACAACCTTTGTTGATCGGTTAATTGGTGATTATAATTAAATGTCTGGCTAAACTTTAGCCTGAGTTTTCTGGACAACACAGTTATTTTGTAATGTGCCCCCACACATTTAGACTGTACACGGTTAGAATCATAATACTGCCCGTGGAAAGCTCTTGCATCTACTTGTGGATTCTGTAGTTTCCTACCATTGACAAACTGACTATTAATGTGCAGGTGAACACTTAAACTGAAGAGCAGTTACCAGCAAATCCACCTGTTACATGGGCTTCTTCTTCTTCTTCTGTCGGCTGTTCCCGTTAGGGGTTGCCACAGCGAATCATCTGTTTCCACCTAACTCTATCCTCAGCATCCTCTACTCTCACACCAGTTAACTTCATGTCCTCTTTTAGCACATCCATATATCTCCTCTTTGGCCTTCCTCTTGACCTCTTGCCTGGCAGCTCCATCTCCAACATCCTTCTACCAATATAACCACTATCCCTCCTCTGCACATGTCCAAACCATCTCAATCTGGCCTCTCTGACCTTGTCTCCAAAACAGCCAACCTGAGCTGTCCCTCTGATGTGCTCATTCCTAATCCTGTCCATCCTGGTC